GAGTCAGACGCTTAACCAACTGAGCCACCCAGGCGCCCCTCTCATTTTAAAGAGAAGGTAACAAAGGTCATGGTAGAGAAAACAGAGTCAGTATTTGAACCCAGAAACGTGATTCAGTTTCTGAACTGAAGAACCAAAGCCTGCTCCGCTCCCGAGCAGTAGCCATACACCCTCCAGCACCTCACGGCTGCTTCCCTGACTGCTCCCAGCTGCTAATTCTGGAGCCCTTTACACGAAAGCGTCGTCTCGCTTGCAGGGAAAACCAGCTGTGTGTGCTTGCCCTTCCTTTCTCCAAACACATACAACCAGTCGCCGCTGTCTTAAAATGCATTCAGTCTTCATGCAGAGAGTATGGGAATTGGAGCTGTAAGTCTGACTGTGACCTTCTGCGCCACAAGCCGTCCGGCTCCGTGGGCTTCTGGCAAACACACGCTGCTGCAACCTCTCTCTGCCCTCATCACCCCATCACCACGTCCATCCACGACCTGTGATCTCCACCCTCACCGGGCCACTCAAGGCCCCATGTGTTCGCCACTCACATCCCCTCCTCCGTGTCTTTGTGTGGACTGTTCTGCCTGCTGGGATCCCTGAAACTTGTATTCACCCTGAAGACCTCCGGGAAGGCGATCTTCTGAAGCCTTCTCCAACTTGGCCGCAAAGGTCCAGTTTTCACCTTGTTGTTCTCCACTCCGGACATCTCTGTGAGAAGTCACACATCTTGCTGTGCCCCTAGATTGTGAGCATCTCTGGGGCAGGGAGGCTTCTTAGCATATTATATAGGAGGACACCGAGCCTTTCACCTTCCCACCCCAACTTCATTAAGAAGCCGGCAATGCCCCCTCCAGGCTGAGCCACTGTGGACCCATCAGACATAACGTGTGCCTGGTGGGGAGACTCATGAAGCCTTCCTCGCTTTACCTTATCTTTTGAATATGACTTTATGTGACCTGTCTGCTCATTAGTCAATTTAAGTAATTGTCAATCACAGTTTAAGACACAAACGTTATTGGACCCTCACGCTCCAAACTTTATCGAGTGCTTTTTGGCATAATCTGCTTCCATGGTATTCCCTATTATTCCCTTATTACCCTAGAGACTCCTTTTCTCCAGGTTTTTTGTTTTCATTTGGATGGGGTGGCATGTCTTTGTGAGTGTATGTGTGCATATGTGTAACTGAAAAACAAGATCCCGTCTCTGTCTTTGTATAAACACGTTAAGGGAAGACTGAGAACCCTCGGTGTTTATTACCCATTATGACCAATTATGTCAAACATCAGAAATTCCCCATAATAAATGGCTACTTACTACTTACTAATTGGAGCATGAAGGTATATATAAAGCTGGAAAAATAAATGTTCAGAGGTTTTTGCAAGAGCACTGGAGATACAGCAAATCTGGTGCAAAATGTTTAGTCTAAGTAAGAACGATGAATTGTATTTTTCACTACAGGACAGAGACATATCAAGGGATAAAAGATAACTTCAGTGTCAAGAAGAAAGGCCTTACTAAACCCAGAGTAGGGTAAAAGGAACAATTCGTGCTGAAGTGCCCACTGTTTGATTCAACAGAATCTTAGAGTCCTCTCTCTACTAATCCAAGGAATAAAGCCAGGAAACAGACCCAGGCCATTTGGAGGCCATGTAGTGCTAAAACATGCCTGTGAGCAGAGCCTCCCATGGCCCACCCAAGTCCACCCCACACAGGTTTAAAGTGTGAAAGCAGTGTCCAATTGAGTGTCACCGAGGAGGAAATATGGTCATGAGAGAGCACAATAAAGCATCGTGTTGGAGAGAAGGGTCGGGCTATGGAAAACGAGGCTGGAGGAGGCAGGGCAGGTAAATCAGGGGAACGTGGTTTTGACTGATGAGAACCCCAGCCCAAGTCTCCTCTCAGCCAATTGCTACAAAGTGTCTCCCTTTGGGGCACCCGGGTGGCTCAGTTGGTTAAGCGTCTGACTCTTGGTTTCGGCTCAGGTCATGATCTCGTGCTTTCGTGAGTGTAAGCCCTACACTGGGCTATGTGCTGGCAGCACAGAGTCTGCTTGGGATTCTCTCTCTCCCTCTCTCTCTCTGCCTCACTTATGCTATCTCTGCCTTTCTCAAAATAAATAATTAACTTAAGAAAGAAGTGATTATCTTTTATGCCATCTTGCCCCATCAGCTCTGCCCTTCAAAAATTTGCTCTTTCCTAGTGAAGTCTCTCTCACACTCCGTATCTGGGAACTGACCAACAGAAATCTGTAACTGCACCCCCACAAATCCGAGAGGCCTAAAAAATTAAGTAGATTGATGGAAAACGTGCAAGAAAGGGACAAGCTTGATAGAGGTGACACATCTGATTCAGGGTGGAAAGAGACTCATCAATAAAAACCAATGGAGTATTGTGCCATCAGACTAAAAACATGTATTTCTAGAGGGTAGATACACTATCATTTATAAAGGACGGCATACGCAGAAATCATGTCTAAAGACACAACTGCTACAGATATTTCAGGTTTGTATAAGGTGGACACTAGCATCTTGGGTTGCTCTGGAGACCTTCTGGCAAATACTGTAAAATTAAGAGGGAAACATATAAAATGGAGCAGACTGAAAAATTAAACCAGTGCACGCCTTAAATTTGTCTATAGTCAATCGTGAATTCCCCCTCTAAAAAAGCTGTGGACCCGCTACATTTGGATTGCACGTACAACTGCTTCTTGAGTCCCCCAAGAAATAAAACTGTGTTGAAATTATTGCACTGTAGAATGGCATAGACACATACAGTATGCACTTTGAGGCACCTTTCATGAGCAAAATAACTAAAGGCAATTCTAACTAGAAAGCAATGTCAAAAAAAAATCGTTGGAAATCTTGCATAATTACAAATGGAAACGATAATAAAATGCAAATATTCTGGTTAAAAAAATAAAAGATACAGTTGAAAAGGTAAAAATCCCAAAAGAAACCCCAAGACTTCTGAAAAACACCTTTTTGAAAGTCCAGGGAAAATATATGCTGCAGATCTAAAAGGCTAGGTGCTTAAAATAAAACCCTCATGGCTACGCTGGCAAAGTCAAAGGGCCAGGGTCGGATGAAGGTATCACCAAAAAAACCACAAAGGACCCTTCAGCTGGGGAGAGTGAGAAAGCCCAGAGGTACAAATAAGTAACTAGGCCAAAAGAGTATTTGAAAAACATCTTGCAAAGGACTCCAAAATAAATGCTGAAAAGTTTTTAAATACATCAAAGAGAGAAAGCGAGTGAGAGAAACTTACAGCATTTGGAAACAGCATCCACAACAAAAGTGTTTCAGAGAATGAAAAGAGCGAATGACAAGGACATCTAAGGAGTGATTTGGCTCTATCTTTAGGAAGGAAACTATAAGGGAATTTCCAAATGTTTCTATTAGAATAGACAGGCAACATGTGACTTTGAAGAAATGATGAATACTTAACCCGGACCTGGACAAAATTATCTCATGAGGAAGAGGAAGCTGTACCCAAGTTGCTGTGCAGGTAACCACAAGCCCACTTGTTTGACAAAATGTGCATCTGCTATTTACAAATGGCTGCTCTCCTTCAGGACAGGTATCTGTCCAATGGCACCTCCAAAAAGGGGGCCCTAGGTAGGTAAAGCAATGAAAGTCACTGAGACTCGCTCCTGTCTAGAAAACGGGGGGGCAGGTACCGATACAAGCACCTGGTGCGTCACCAGGTATAGACTAGGATGGGCAATGCAAAGGAAAAGAACTCACCTCCTAGAATATCCTAAGTAGATACATCTTGTGGCAAAGGAGAATGAATGGACATAACTTATTTAGGTGTTCAATACTTTTTCTTCACTTCCTAGTCACACACACCCCAGGGCCATCTTCCCTTCTCCAAAGTGGCTCCTTACCATTCTCCCCACTCTTTAGAAACCAGTGCCATTTTTAACTTGTCTTCCCTTACCCACTCATCCAGTCAGTTGCTGAATCTTGTCAATCCTACCTTCTCAGTATCTCTCAAACATGTGCCACCCGTCCCCAGTGCCCTATCCTAGTCCAATGACAGTTTGCTCCTGCTTGCTCTAGTAAAAGCACCTCCGCCCAACCTCCCTCCAGTCTTGCTCCATACCAACCACTTTCCTTGTGCAATCAGTCTGATCTCTCTCTCCTATCAAACCTGCCAATATCTTGCAGTCCCTGGCAGAACACCACTCAGTGTTTGGCCCTGCTTGCCTCTCCACTTTCACCCGTTGTACCTTACCTTTCAGGATAACAGCCTCCCATTTCAGATACGCCATGCACTCTCTTTGCTCTGGACCCGTGCAGCATGCTATTCCTGAGGCAGAGGACATGCCTACCCTACTTCTGGGGCCAATTCCTGTTCCTCCTTTAGTGTCAGATGCCCTGCCTCCCTCTCCAAGTTGAACAATGAGGATGACAATGTTCATCCCAAGGGCTCTAATAGCCTCCTGTGGGCAAGTCTCCCCATCAGAGCATTTTTCATACTGTGATGTAATATCTACTTCTCTCCCCTACTAGTTTATATGAGAGACATGGGCAGGAGAAATATCATCTCACTCGCCAGTTCCTAATGGAGTGCCTGGCAAGTGGTAGCTGCTTAATAGGTGTTTGTGGAAATACTCCTCAAGTTTCACACTGAGTTGAGAATGTACAGTGCCTTAAGGAAGGTGGAAAGGGAACTCAAGAGGACCACCACATCCTGAGTCCCTGCTATGTGCTAGGCACATACATCAGCCCTTGCATACATTACCCCATTCATTCTCAAGCCTGCCCCCGAGGGGCGTATTATTATCCCCACTCTATATATGAGTAAACTGAAGCTCAGACAATGAAGGGACTTTCCAAATGGTTCAAGACTAGTTAGAAGGGCAGAACCAGAACTCAAAGTTCTCTGTCAACAAAAACATCTTTTTTCTTACTGCCATGAAGACAAATTGATAGCAGGATTTTCTCTAAATAGAAAATTGTTAACAGTGAAATCTCCCATGAATTAAGGCTGTGACTAAAGTCACTATTTTATACATATTTATATAGATGTCAAATTTTTATTTTTGGCACAATATACATAAAATTTATCATTTTAGCCATTTTTAAGTGCACACCTCGGTAGTGTTAAGTCTGTGCATATCATTGCACAAACAATCTGCAGGACTCTTTTCATCTTGGGAAATAGAAATTCTATGTCCATCACACAACTCTCCATTCCCCGGCCCCAACTTCCTGACCACCACCCTTCTGCTTTCTGTTTCTATGAATCTGATGACTCTCGGTGCCTCATATAAAAGGAATCATACAGTATTTGTACTTCTGTGACTGGCTTATTTCACTTAGAATAATGTCCTCAAGGTTCATCCATGTTGTCGCATGTGTAGGACTTTTCATTCCTTTTTGAGGCTAGATCATAGTCCACTATGTTATGTACAACATTTTGTGGACCCATTCATCCCTTGGTGGAAACCTGGGTTGTTTCCACCTTCGGGCTCTTGTGAATTATGTTTCCATGAACGTGGATGTGCTATACTCTGAATATTCGTAAATACTGGGCAAACGTATTCACAACAAAACCTTTCAAACCACATCCTGGGTGATGAAGTAACAAATGAGCGGGATCAATGACCAAGGTGTCCCAATAAGTTGTGAACTATGAGGAAAAGTGGTAGCCACATTTCAATTAATGCCCCACGGGAAGAGTATATTTAGGGAAAAAGTCCCGCTATACTTATTTTTTAGAATGAAGTTACGTATAAATAATTAAACTATCTAGAGAAATAAACCTACACCCCCCCCCCAAATACTTCAAGCTATGCTTTACATGGGATGCGCTATACATCTGTTACCAGTCAGGAAAGCACTTTACACTTCCTGGAAGGTACTCATAAGGGGTTGTTCTGTTTCACCGAATCGTATCTGGAATTAGTTGCTTTCCAAGTACTAATTAGTGGTTAATGCTGATGATTTTTTATGAAAGTATCACTTCCCTCCCTTTATCCCTGTTCTTTTGCTCTCTTATGGCGCCAAGTCTCTTACAGCAGAGCACTTAATGCCCAATACCGTTGGGATCATGGGGAGGGTAATGGCATATGACCTGTCTTCAACTGAGGGTCTGGGGAGGGAGGGTGGTCAGTGGAGAAACTGACATGGTAACCACCAGGTGGAATACAAGAAAAACAACTTATCTCCACTTAAAAGGTAGCCACACACACTTCTGGGGGAGTAGAGAGGAGACACTGTTTCTCATTTTAGGCATGAGACAAGGTTTCTTTAGCTGATCCTTGAAGAATAAGCAGCGTATGGAGTGAGAGAGCACTTAATGGAAGAAAAGGCACAAGCAGAGACACCAGGTTCAGGAATATGGAAGATGCCGACGGAACTAAAACTTAACCCAGTTTGGCTGAAAGAAGAATACACAAAGGGACAAGTTTGGAATGTGTGCCAGGACCAGAGTTTAGACAGCCCTGAACAGCATTTTTAATCGGAGTAAGGAGTAGATGAGGGTTGCAAATGTGCAGGGTCCAGGAAGACAACAGAAACTCCTGAAGCCAGAAGGTATAACAGTAGGGAAGAGTGGGGATTGTGAGGAACTCGAGAATGCAGGAGCCGCAAAAAGGCAGCTGTGACTCAGCCTAGAAAATGCTGCTGCACAGAAAATTCAGGTCAATATTGATGGTCCATCCAGATGTTTATGAGTATTTTCAATTTCCAGAAAACCTCCTGGTCAGATGGGATGAGTCTCTGGGGCCACTAATTTGCAAACTCTGGTGTGGGCAGTGAGGCATCTCGGGGTCTAATAATGCCCCTTCCACCCCTCATTTCTCACGTACACATAAGGCCGTGTTACCAAGTCACCCTTATGTGCTAAGTGCTTTGCCTCCTTACACTCGCCATGGTTTGTCCCTCACTTTGTTTTATTTTTATGATTCTGTCTTAATATCACTCTGTACTCGATAGAGGTACTGTGAGGAGTAAATGAAAGAATCCATGTAAAGCCTTTAGAACCCTGCCCAGAGCTGCCAAGTAATGAGCATTCAACGATCACTGGTCGTGTATGTGAAAGATCATTAGCCGACACTCTCCGTGCACACTCACGTACACCCACGACTTCACCATGTTTACATCTCCAACACAGTTGCTCTCTTGGGCTCTGGCTCAAAAACCCTCCTGTCTACTAGAGAGCCCTCTCGGATGTCACTCCAGACCTTTTTCTCACCTCATTCTCCCCCATTCAGTAAGTGACATCACTAGCCACCCAGGACCCCAAGTAAAAACTTGGTATCATTCTTGAATCCTTCTTCTACTTCATATGCAACTCCCAGTCTATAATGAAATCCTATCCAGTTCTCAACTCTCCTGCTCTACAGTCTGTCGTCTGAGCCAATTCCCAGAACCTGGAGCCTGAGAAGACTGACTCCCTCTGCATCTGGAGGTAGGAAGGAAGGAGGTCAGGCACCTCTTCGCTGCACTCAAAGCACCAGACAACTGGAAGCACAGTTCTGTCAGATCCAGAAAAGAGTCCAAAAAACTAGGGCAACAGATATTGTATTTCTAGGAAGATGATGGGCTGTG